CTCCCAAACATAGATCTGTGTTCGATTTTATGATTTTTTTTTAAATATATTTTTCTCAATTTTTTAAGGTCTCCTCATAGGCTATATATATATATATATATATATATATATATATATATATATATATATATATATATATATATATATATAAACTTATTATTATTACAAAGTTTTAGATTCTAAAGTCTAGGTAGATAGTTATTTATTTATTTATTTATTTATTTTTTCAATGAGCCAATTTACAATTATTTCTAAAATATATTTAAAATGTTATAGGTGTTTCATATAAAATAACTATTTAATAACTATTTAATATTTACACATGATTTCGAGGTTGTAAGTCCTCAGGTATAATTTTTAAAATTTTTAACCATTTTGTTCATTTAATTGTATGAAATTTACTATGTTTTTAATGTTTTTAATTTCTATTCTATCCAGTTAACTTGTAATGACAATAACATAATCCAACTAATTTCACATCTTTAAATTTTAATAACAATATAATAAATATAATATAGAAATTTACTTGTAATGAAAATAACATAATCCAACTAATATAACATAATCCAACTAATATAACATCTTTAAATTTTAGGGAAAATGACTTAAAATTCCAATAAAGTTTTCAAACACTCAAAAAATCTCAATCATGTTTTGTCTATTCAAAAAACCCAACGAACTTAACTTTTTGTGTAAAAAATTTAACAAAGTTTCAAACTGTTCAAAAAATCTCATTTTTGTTTTGTTTAAGTTCATTGAGTTTTTTTTGAACAACAAAAACATGATTATAGTTTTTTAAACGTTTTGAAAACTTTGTTGATCTAACAAGTCATTTTCCAGATACGGTAATGAGTCACGTCATTTATTTTTCTTATTTGATTTTCAGAAAAGTGTAACTTAGTTGGGTTTTTTAGATAAAATGTTAAATTCGTTGGACTTTTTTGGACAGACAAAATATGATTGAGGTTTTTTGAACAGTTTAAAAACTTCGTTGGGCTTCTAAATCATTTTCCCTAAATTTTAATAACAAGATAATAAATATATATAGAGCATAGCCTTTAATTGGGCTATTCGGGTAGCAAAATAAATTTTATTTGAATTTAAAAAAAATTAGTTAATGTGATAAAGTATTTGATTAAAATAACATATTTAAAATTTAATAACACTACAATAACATTAAATAGAAATTTAGAGATAAATAAAATGTTTAAAATAAAAATTATGTAAAATGTCTCTTTATAGTAGATAATCTAGGCTTCTCTTCGGTAGCCCTTGGGCCATGGGGAGTTGGGTTTCAAAAGTAGAGGTGCTCCAAAAGACTTTTTGGAACGGATGGAGACCGAATTCAAAAAAGACAGTTTAGGACTGTTTAGGACCGGTCCGAGAAAATTGGACCCTATCGAGGCCGAACACAAAAAATACCGGCCATGCTAAGACTGGCACAACTCCGATCTAAAAAAAGACCGGTAGTTAAAGTTTATAAATATACAAAGTTTGTGTTAATTATATAATTTTTAATCACAAATTATCTAACTTTTTTTTGCTTTTTTCTTTTATTAAACTTAAGTGTATCATTGTTAAAGGAAAAACTCGAATTTGAAACCAAAAACTCGAAAAATACGTACAAAAGACCGTGAAAGGTCAAGACCGGTTCTAGAACAGCCAAACAAAGAAAACCCGATTGTTTCTAATCTGATTCCGAGACAAACCCTATGAGCGCCGATGTGGACTTCTATTGGGCTTTAATTTTTTTCAAAAGAAAAAATAAACCCAAAAGAAATGACCACCAACTGGATCCAAATAAATTAGCGGATTTTATAAGATGCACTCATGGGCCGACTAGGGTTCCAAAAGAACAACCATATAAAACCTTTCTACGTTGCAGAAAGAAGCAAGAGAGCAGCAGACGCCGGCATCCTTGTCGACGGGGGAAACCGCTAAAGGATCTTGGCAATATGGTTTGTTATCTGCCTGAATTTAGTTTTCACGATTAACGAATCGTAATAATCTTATAATTCAAGTGAATTGATTTTGTTAAAATTTGGATTTATCTGTGTAGACTTTCAAACGAAGGAATGGCGGACGCAACAAGCATGGTCGTGGCCATGTCAAGTTCATTCGCTGCTCTAACTGCGGCAAGTGTTGCCCTAAGGTCTCTTCTCGCTCTTTGCCTTGCTTATAATATTCAATTAATTTGTGCACATGACGATTGTTCTAATTGCAACGACATTGATCTCTATGTATACAATTTATAGTCTAGTGATCATATGATATAGTTTCTACAGTTTTTCGAATATAATGTTACGATTGGATCCCAATAATTTGTAGGATCCCCTTATTATCTCTTGCTTAGCTAAAGCATCTGAAGCACATTAGATCATAGATTTCTATCAGACCGGTTAAGAACTCTTTGTACTTAAAAACGTGTGTATCCTTTGATGGAATGAATGAGAAATGACTTGCAACTGGTTTCAGCGATCTGCTGAAATGTTTACATAGTCGATTAGGTTTCCATATTTTTTGAAGGAATGAGTGATAAAATACCTGCAATAGAAGTTTGTTTAAGGTTTATCCAAATCCATAATTAAGAATTGTAATTGTGATTAACAGGACAAGGCTATCAAGAGATTCCTTGTGAGGAACATTGTGGAGCAAGCTGCTGTTAGAGATGTTCAAGAAGCTTGTGCATTTGAACGTAAGAACTTTTGACATTGACTTGTTAAAATGTTATAGATAATTAGATATCATCAAAGGATGTGACTACAATTTTGTTATTTTGTTGTTATAGAGTATACACTTCCCAAGTTATACGTGAAGATGCAGTACTGTGTTTCATGTGCAATTCACTCGAAAGTCGTTAGGGTCCGATCCCGTGTTGATAGGAGGAACCGTGAGCCTCCAAAGCGATTCAGTCGCCCAAGGGTATATATGTCATATCAATAATAATCTTGTTTTATCATCTCAAGGTTTTATGATTATTCAATATCATATAATCACCTCCAAAATGACTTATTAGTTTTTTCCCTTTTTGTTTTGTTTCAGGATGATCTTCCTAAGACAGGTCAGGCACCACGCCCCGGTGGTGGTGCAGGTGGTCCTCCACCTGTTCGTACTTAAGTTGGATGAATGTAGCCTCTGGTTCCAATTTGTTTTTGAATTTTCATTATGTTATGCTTTTTATACGCTTTCTAGGTTTTGGCCTTTTGAACATCAAGATTGTGTTCTTTTTTTTTAATTGATAATGAGTATTAAACTTGAATGCGATGAACTGACTTGACTTCGTTTGTTTGTTTGATTTGCTCTTGTTATGATGCCGGAATGCTTGCTATGGGGTAATTTGTCATTACAGCTAATGTTTGGAGTGATAACAAATAATCGTTTGAAACAACAATGAATAAAAACTCAGTTTATGATATGCAATAAATATATTAATAAAAAGTTTTAGATCAATAAAAAAACAATTACTGTAATTATGTTTGAAGTGAGTTGATTTGAGTATAGGGGCCACGCAAATCGTCCTTGTGTTGCAGAATCTGGATTGTTCATTGGTTTCTTTTTTTGTAGTTGCACCTTCATTTTACAATATTTATTGAAAGCCATATTCTCGTAAAAAGTTCGTTAAGATGTTCTTTCAAAAAACACCTCAATTTTCATCAGAACGTCATCGATGGTGACTGAATAAAGGTTAATCATACAATATTGTATTTCAAAAAAAGACTTCAATTTTAACAGATGCGACTTTGCTTAAGATTCGTTTAAGCTGTTAGTTGAGTGTTTGTTGAGTGATAAGATACAACCATACTAACAATGATTCTTCAATAAACTAACATTAATATAAATAACTTAAATAAAAGGCAAATGTAACTTTTAAAGTGGTATCTTTTTTAGTAACAGAGACAACAAGCTCGACGCACTGATTGTCAAATTGAAGTACATGTGCAATAGGACGGACAAATTGAATGCATGAACAATTGGTTCGTTTGATACACTAAATGATTGATATGCTAACAGTTATTATACATTTTAATAAAGTTAAAAGATATAATAAGGAGTTGAATAGTTTAAAACGTCCTTGAACACTTTAGATGCTTTTTTTTTTATTGGAAGAATTTTAGGAAAAAGAACAAAATATTTAATTTGGTGTGTTAACGTATTCTTAAATCCATTATGTTTTTAATAGAACTTTGAACCCTTGATCTCAAGGAGGAGGAAAGACAACTACAATACCATTAGACCAAAAGCCTTTTAGTTTTTAGATGACTTTTTGATGATTAGATCCACTCTTTACGGTTATATTTGTTCATTTCATTGATCATACAAAATATAACTTAAAAGACCCTACTCATTTTAATACATTAAAATTGGATGGTTTGCTCTTTCTACTTTTTCTGTGGAATATTTATAATGTATTTAAATAATATTAGAAGAAAAAACATTCCCATAAAATTAAAAAACACCTAGATATATGCTAAAGTCAAACCCATCTTCATGTATTTTCTAAGGTTTAACTATTTCATATTTGTTTTTTTATTTCTTATGATTAAGCTTCCACTTTAATGAAAGAAATAACAATATATTCTCGTTATTTTTGTATTATAATAATTTATTTTTATTTTTCCTATTATAATATATATTTTCAATTTTTATTCAAACATTATATTTCATTATACATTAAAAAGTTATTGTAAAATTAGAAATATTAAAAAATCAATTTAATTATAACATTGAATTTTACAAAGGTGTTTGTAATCGAATAACAGTAATACAATTAAGTAGATTTTATAAAATATAATAAGAAAATAAGAAAAAACTAAATAAAATTATTCATGTCACAAACTATGACCAAATTTACTCTCATATTAAGCTTATACTTAAGCTCCTTTTATAAAGAAATTGACATGAGATTTTGAAAAATAATTTCGTGATAAAGTATGAAAAGTAAACAAATAAGTATGAAATCACAATGATACCCACTAGTAGAAATAAGATAACAAATAGATCTAAAGAGGGCAAAACGGTCTACCAGACCGAGTCCTGTGACTTGGTATTGTGAAACGCCTCAGCCTTCCTTCTTCCTCGCTCAAATACCCTTCGCACAGAAACACCTTCGAAAACTCATCTTCCACCACCCTATTAACGTCGTGCACAAAAACATCCGTCTCCCCCTCCTCCCTGTTCCGCGCCATTAACCCCGCCGTGTATATCGCCTTCATCCTCCCCGGAGCTTCATCGTGGTACCCAGTCGGAGCATCCACCATTATCAAATCCCATTCCACTTCATACACCTCCTCCGGCAAGTTCCCTTTCATTGCCAGCTCGCACCCAGAGACCCTCGGATCTCCGACCACGTTACACTCCTCCCTCTTCCCTATCTCCATCAGCTCCGACGCACGCGCCACCTTCGTGTCGTACACGACGTGGTACGACTCCAAATTCGGGAATTTTGACTGGATTTGCTGGATCCATGACTTGTCTTCTTCTAGGAACACCGTCCGGCCGCCGTGGTTGAGCGTGGCCCACATTGGACTGTCGAAACCGAGTCCGAAAACCAAGAAATTACAAGGGGATTTCTTCAATAGAACCCTGAGGCTGACGGAGATTTCTTTGTAGGTTTGTTGTGGGGTTATGTTTGAAGTGACGTAGTGAACGAGTGTCTCGGCAGTGGCCGGAGAAAGCTTGTTGCATGTTTGAGAGGCCGATAATTGGTGTTGCAGAGGAGGGCAAGATGTTGGGTTGGTGGTGGTGGGTAGGTTTGAATCAGAGGTAACAGATGAAGCTTGAAAGGATGTTGGTAAAGATGATGACCTGAGTAATATTACCAAAACAAAAACCAGGAGGAAGAAGACGACGAGTAGGATCGGCTTGAAGGCAATGGGGTACTTGCTTCCTTTGTTTCTCATTTTTCTTTAGAGTTTAGAGAGAGACAGAGAGAGAGAAACAAATAGATATATACACAGTTACACACACATATACACATATACATATTATTTATTATTTATATATTATAGAAAAAATAAAGAGATGGAGAAGTGGGTGAGACGTGGTGGAAGAGTGAGATAAATTATTTGGAGTAGGAAGGAAGGGAGAAACACTGGAAAGACAAGACATTACTTTAATCTTCGAGAACATATAGACACACAAGCGTAAGTTATACATAAATTATGAGTACTATCGGTCAATTTGGAGCTCATAAAAATGTATTCCACATCGACCCATGTCACCATGTGTTTGATTTGTATAACATTTTTGAGATAATAAAAGTCTTAAACTTAGACAAAAAGGGTTATAGTCTAACTTGTATGTTGATGAAATGAAAAATGTCCTACCCTTAAGTTATAATGCAAGATTACAAGTTGTTTCCATTCCTATGACAACCGGATCCAACAATCTGCTCCAAATTCAGTAATGAATCTACCGAGTCTAATCCCTCCATAATTTCAACAACTCTCCAACAAATTTATCTTGGTAATCCAAATCAAAACCAATATTAGACCCAATATGACACCAACTTCCATCAAATGAGATTATGCTAGGAAATTCATTGGTTATAACACCACATAATAATCTAGTTAGCTAAAAGCTCAAGAATAGCAACAAACTTATGCAAAGATGTAGTTTGATTTAAAACAACATTTTAAGTAGTTACCAACAATCAAGTTAAATAGTCAATTCAGATACCAAATAGATCCAACTCTCCATGATTTTGATGATCCAACTCTCCTGATTTTGATAGCTTTTGTATGTAATAGATAGCAAGGTTTATTAGAGAGACGATATTACAAAGCGAACGACACAAGAAATATATAGACTAAGCTATGAACTAAACCAGGAAGGAGCTTAATTGCCTAGAAGGTTGCTATAGTTTTTATATAAAGGCAAACACCCCCACTCTCCTCTTAAACTCAAGGAGGCTGATGAGAATCCAAATTTAGTTTGGACAAAAGTAGATTAATATGACCGGGTATGAGAGCTTTGGTGAAGATATTAGTTGTTTGATTAGTAGTGGAAATCGAAAATAGAAAGACAATATTACCAAGAACATGTTGACAAACTCAATTTCAATGTATTTTGTGCGTTCATGAAAGACATCATTACGAGCTAGATGAGTGACACTTTAGTTGTCACACAAAAGAATCAGTGACAATGTTTGAACAATACCCATAGGGTTTCTGTAAATTTTACTTTTTCCATCCACATCTATTCACTCCTTACTCGTACCCGAAACTCCTTTCTTTATATTGCCAATTCATCATTCTTATTTATGTGTTGTTATCATCAAGAATGATCACTCTACCCAGAACGCAAAACTAAATCAATGCTAAACACCTTCCATGTTTCTAATCCCTAATATGATATTAAAGGAGATCATATGACAACAAATAAAACCAACGATATTATACCACCACCCTCCGCATTTTGCAAAAAATTATTGATAGTGTTGTAAGTCAACGGGAGCATGTTATCAATGTATTCTCAAATTAAGAACTATTTCAACTAATATGCCGAGTGGGTGTCATATCAATTGAAAATTGATATTACAAACATTATTTTATAACTTTCAGAATAGAATGACGAAGGTTACATCCACTCAAAATATTATACTTGTCATGAAACTATGAAAGTAGGTACTTTCCAAATAAGATTCAAAATAATGCTTGTAATTACAAACATAATTTTGAATCCGGATTTAGTAGGTAGTAGTTGTAACACGACGGAATGGAGTGTGGTTTGAGACTATGTGGCATGTGAAACGGCAGTGAATATCTCCCCTCCTACGCTTTTTGGGGAGTGTGGTTTGGGTTATGCTACCACTAAATGGAGTTCTCCTACCTCTCTCACTCTTCCTCCCTCTCTCTCTCTCTCTCTCTCTCTCTCTCTCTCTCTCTTCTTTCTCTTTCCTCTTTTAAATGTATATCATTCTTTGTGTGTGGTATTGGAGTGTAACAAAATGAGCGAGTGTGATACCACTCCTTCCAGCCTAATATTAAAAATTGAAACTTTTATAATTCGTCCATTTTGAAATTGAAAGTATTTGTACTTGACATCGTTGGTACATTTAGTGCCACATACCAACACATCACGAGACAAGTAATTTCTCCATGATTTTATTTACCAAAACGTCTGGCCCAACAACATCGGGGACATTGATAGAGTGTATCGTACTATAAGCCGACTAAATATGAAAAATATGCATGGGACAATGTTTTTATTATTTTCAAGAAGTTGTTGATTTGTCTACAACAAAAAAGATAATAAATAGTTTCAACAATTATCTTTTGTTTTTGTTACGGCTAAACTCGATTTTCCACTATTGTATTTGTAATGATCGCAAAAAACCACAAAGGTTTTTTAAGCTTTCATGCATGGATGAAATGTTAATAAAATAAAGTGTACATTTTGTAACCAGTAAAAAAAATCGCCGTTCAAAGTGCAAGAAAACATGAAATGTGTTTTTCTTCTTATCTTTTTACAAATACTAATTCTCTTATAACAAATAGGGAAATTAATTTTTTTTTTTTAATTTTTAATTTTTACTTTTATGATGATGATAAATATATAAATTTAACACCCCAATTAAATCTATCAAATAATAATTACAATTATTGAGATTGCCCTCTTTATCATTTTCTACATATCATTTTTTCTATCCAAATTTTATTTACAAATGGTTTAAATATATAAAACATTGTTCTGAAAGTAAATCTAAAATTAAAGAATAATAAATCAAATTGGATTAGAAATTGGCTAAATCAATTGGGTTGTTTATTGTATTCAAAGAATCAACTACCTATTCAATTCTCGAAATGTGATTTTAACCCAATACACAAACTTATCTAATCGCTGATGTGAGTAGTATTATTTTTTTTGAATTGTGGCAGAGTTTGGATAGTTAGGTGTTTTGAAGGGTTGGTGAATAGCCTTTGAGTAAAGTTCAATTTTCAATTTCTTATTAAGCATCATATAATAATTGGAGAAATTTTTAAAAATAGATAAAAACATTAATAACTTTTTAAAAAATAGCAATTTTCGTAAGATAGCCATTAGAATCGCGGTTGTTAATGCAAAAGGATCGGGCACTAAATCCAAAAACTTGACTTTTACATCTCCTTTTGTGTGATATTGATTGCAAACCATTTCATAGTGACACAAATAAAAGACGTGATTCCAAAAAGCTTCAACATGAATTTATGGGGTACCGAGTGGAAAATCCTTCTCTACAATGATAATGTAAACACGTATCAAAGCGAATTCATCTCTGGTATTCCATGCGAGGGCGATATGTCTATGGAAAGAACCAGTTACAAAAATTTCTCAGTTTTTCCTCCAATCGATTTAATTACGTTGATCAACATTTTAACATCAATATCATCAACTATGACTATGTAACGATGCAATTCAGGATAATGGAAATGAAGACTAGTTTTATATTTATCTAATAACCAAGTTTTCATTTTCACCAAATATAAAAACTCATTAAAAGTAATATACTTTGAAAACATGTAAGCGGATTCAAAAATCCCTTCCTGTGGGCAAACATACTCTAGGTTTTTTTCTACTATCTCCCACCTCCTGTCAGTTATAAGGCAAAACGAATATTCACTAAAACTCATTTTAGTGCAAACATAAAAAACGATAATTCAAAAGAAATAACTGATAATCTTAGTTTTTTTTAGCAAACTTTTATTTATAATTTAGTAATTTGTACGAATTCATAGTCAACACAGTCAGATTTCGTAGTCAATCTTAAGAAATTTATAATCAAACATAAGTATTTTTTTTTTTGGGAAACAAAAAATTCATCGCCAAGTTGCAGATGAGTGTAGAGCAAATCGTAGGTGAGGCACACCCATCTGTGAATTGGTTAAATTTTCTAAAAAATGTTTTTATAGAATGGAACAAATAGTAGATGGAAATTAGCAAATCGCAAATACCCCCCCACCCCCAAGGAAGGATTGAAGTAATTTGTTTACTACAACAAATGAAAGGTGTGTAACCCTAATTCTTGTGTTTTGATTATACTAGGGTTTCAGTTAGGGATCATCTAGATTTTTTTTGTTCATAGTATGTTACATTCAAATTGCTATGACAAAGATCCTTTAGGTTGCATGTGTCTTTTAGTATTAAGTAAGATTACGTAAGCACATAGTTTTTGTAAGCTATAAAACCCATCACACAACACCACCTTTAAACCACCATAAGGTGGTGGTGTTATTAAGGACTTGATTTTCCAGCCATATGATGCCTAAAGGAGCTTAATGGGTTAGGTTTGTAACTTAACCCTAGTATTCGTAAAAATGATATTTTATGTGAAATCACAAATTTGTACTCTTATTAAGCCAAGCGTTAAGACCTTTGGGTTAAATTGAATTACACATCTTAGTAGCCTAATAAGTAACCATTAATTATGTTAAAAGTGTTAAATTAAAGCTTAATTAATAAGTCCTTAATAGAGCACCAAAAGTGACTTAAAAGTTAATATGACCTAAATCTCAGAATCTGTTCTTCAACTTCTATAATTCGTGCAACGCAATCAGAAAACCTAAAAATCATGAAATTTAGTTTTCTAGAAATTATATCGTCTCTCGTTTCTCGAAAATTTGAATCACCTTTCGTAACTCCAACTCTTTGAGGGCTATAATTGGCAATCTTCATAGGCTGGTCTATGTTGTCACATATTTCATGCATTGTCTTCTAAAAATCATAATAAATTAATCAAGGCTCAAAATTCCAAAATTCTAGGGCCTATAGTTTGATATGGATGTCTAGTTCCTCCCATATAAAGGGTTTGATGTAATTATTAGTAGATTTGTACAATTTATTCAAATAGTGATGAGTGCACCTAAAATTATACGTCAACCCGTGACATGTAAAACTAATTCTACAAAAACCCAATTCATGA